GTTCTGAACCGCACTTCAATTCACTCTTCGCGCACTTCTTGGCCTTCGGTCGGGAGTATGAGCTTCTAGAAGTCAAGGACGTGAAGGGTTCCTCATCCTCTCCCGTGGGCATTGGCCAGCTTTGGGAGAAGTGGAAGGAGATGGGGTTGTTGGAAGGCTAAGTTTAGAGGGTTATCGTAATATGGCAAAGCCTGGTGCTCTTGCTAAAGTTTTTGGTGTATGTATAAGTGTTGGATAATTTATCTTGGATATTGCTTGATATTAAAGTGATCCTTTATATAACCCTGCATCGGTTTAAGTTCTGCGATTGCTATCCTGTCCTGCTTTTCTCTTTCGCGATTTGTTGCTTACCGTCCCCCAGACCAAATAACCGGACAAAGTACGGTCATGTGTCCAACACATGTTGTTCTAAATTTGGGTGATAGATTTGTTGGGCATTTGGTCTCGTTGCGATCCAGAAGACGGTGCTGATCATTGCCAGAAGTAGCGAGTGAGCGTCCTCATCGTCCCCCACTACCATCGCCCCTTTCTCCTTTCGCAACTCTCGTTACACCTCCTAAGTCCTAAGTATACCTAGTCATGTCGTTCTTCGGGTTCGTTATAAGCCCACGCACGCGTTAGACCATCTGATTAACGATGCTGTCGAACAGGAAAACTCGTGCACCCCGCGGGGCCAGGCGATCGCCGACACCATCACGCAAGGACTCTGCAGGCTCGGAGCCTCCGTCACCTGGCGGAGCTACATCTTCGAGACCGTTGTATCTATGTAGCCCGTTCGCAGACGCAGCGCTTGTGAAAGGAAACTTCAAGACGATCGTGATGCTCCCTAAGTACGTGGATATTATGGAATGGGTAGCTGTCAATAGTGAGTGAAGCTCTCTTAAATATGCCTTTGTACTGTGGATATGCTGTATGACTGGACTGATCGCGTTCGATCGTTATAGTGTTCGACTTTTATACCAATCTGAACGAGTTCTATGGTGTGATTAATGAGGCCTGTACGCAACATTCGTGTCCTAGCATGTCTGCCGGTCCTTCGTGAGCTAGAATACTTCGTTATCACGTTATACCACTAATCTATTGCCCTAACACCAGACTAAACTACCTATGGACAAACCAGGGCGGAAAGCAAGCCGCTCTCCCTGCACCAACATATATCGACTACGTCATGTCTTCTATCCAAAACCTCCTCGACGATGAGAATGTCTTCCCGACTAAGACAAGTACGTCTCTCACGTCCCAATCATTCCTCTCACTAACGTTACTTACCTAGACCAAGCCTTCCACCCCTCCTTCCCCGCCACCATCCGTACCGTCTACCGTCAGCTCCTACGCGTCTTCGCGCACATCTACCATGCGCATTATCAGCAAATACTTCACCTCCGCTCTGAGCCGCACTTCAACTCCCTCTTTGCTCACTTCCTTGCGTTTGGGAGGGAGTATGAGCTGTTGGAGGTGAAGGATATTCGCGGTGAGTCGAATGCCCCTGTGGGTGTTGGGCTGCTTTGGGAGCGCTGGAAGGAGGCGGGGATTTTGGAGAGTTGATTCATGCTACCGTCTCAGCCTTGAAACATTCACTTATTGTTCGCTCATTCTCATGGAACGGCTGGGTAGCAGATTCCGCCACCTAGGATCTCCGCCGTTTTCTTTCCGTTGTTATACTTTTGTGTAGATGCCACTGCCACAGTGGTGGATTGGATTTGCTTTTGGATTCTCATTTGTACACACCCACACATACATTCATACTCAACGTCAAATGTTATACCAGGATTTCGGATGAATACATGTTTTCACGGGTGTCCTTGCGAAATCTTTATGGGAGAGTCCTTGCCAAGCCTACTTGGATAGTGCTTGTTGTGATGGAGTCCGTAAGTGTCGACACGATAAGAGCTTCTGCGTGAGTTCACCGGACAATCGCTTTAGCAACCTTACAACCTTAACGGACATCGGAGTGAATGAGTTGAAGACGTGCTCCGAGGTTCTTCGCCCGCGGACCACGGCCGGCTAAACTACATAGCAACCGCGAATACATGAATGTAAATGTATCCAAATGAAGTCCCTTGACAGAAAGCCTTGGGTATCTCACTGAGGGCCTCGAATCAAGTCCAAGAGCTGGAGGATGGTGTAAAAGAGTGGTGCACCATGAACTGGCCCATTATATTCCGCAGAACTAACAACAGGCCCGAAAAAGCGTGTGTACACGAATAAAATGCGTTATGTTGTACCTTGACCTGACAGATCCAGCGTCCGCAAAGGAATTATTTAAAGATGTGGCATGAGCTCCGAAGTTCAATTGCCGTTGACCAGGACTGATGAAGCCTAGAGAATGAACCCAGCCACAACACCGACAGTGGCGAGGAGAGTTGCAACGCTACCTAGGAGCGCGTGGGCTCCGTTGGCCGCGGGAGCGTCAGTGCCAGACGCGGAAGCACCTGTACCGGTTGCGGTACCACTGACGGCGACGGAGGCAGAGGGAGTTGCACCTGCCGAACCTGAAGCGGTTGTGTTGGTTCCTGTACCAGTAGCCAACGCGGTTGCCTGAAATATCTATTTAGCTTGAAGAGCGATTGAGAATATGACCAATACGTACCAAGAAGGCATCGTATGTACGCTCTGGAGTGGGGTTAAGAGCGAATACCATTCCTCGAGAACAATGGCTGTCAAGAGAAACGGTAACGGTCAGCTGGGTGCTGTTTTTATTATCCCAAGAACAACTTACGGAGGGCGGTTGCAGAAGAACCACAAAGGCGCCGATGCTAAGGGAAAAAAGCGAGATGTTAACGAAATCTATTAACCTGAAAAGAGGCATATTGCATACCGTTATCAATTGTAAACGACCACTCCGGGAATTGAGTCGCGCCAGCGGCGACGGGTAGAAAACCAGAATCGATTCCAACAGCGGGAGTGGTCCTAGAAAATAAGTCATGAAGCTTGAACGTGATATTTGGGGAAGTGTGGATGCATACATCGGTGTACAAGGGTTGGCGAAGGTCGATTGGGTCACGGTCTTCATGGCTAATCAGTATCTTGGCGTGATAAATATCGGAATGAAGGAACATACGTGGTTTCCGGCCTGGCTGTGAAAAATAATAATCGGTAAGTGTGTTAGAGCCAGATGGATAAAGCGTACAATTGGAAGGCGATAGTGTCGCCGACTTTTGCGGTGACGCTGCAATAATAGTTAAATTTTAGATAAAAGCGATAAGAATTTTTGCGCACGAGGGGGGCGTGTACGTGAGTCCACCATTCTCGGCTACAATTACGGTAAACTTCTCAGCCACGACGACAGAAACAAGGGCAGTAGCAATAGCAAAGAAACGCATTTTGACGGGCAAAGAGAGTGGTATTTGAGGAATAGAGGGTTTCCGTTAGTGAATGGGAGTGACTAGGTCCGAAAGTGAAGAAAGAGCCTGAAGAGTGAGATATAAAAAATTAAAAAACCGTGGTAGAATACCCGAGAAATTATACGTACGCTGCTCTGAGGAAGGCGGGAAGAAGAAAGGGGAGGAATGAAGGAACAAAGGTACACGAAGGAAATTGCCTCAAAGCGTTGAGTGTGGTTCTATTTATAATAGCGACGAACGCGCTTGGCGAACACGTGCTTGACCAGGGTTGACGCGCTTGCCGGTTGCTAATGATCAGCAACCCTGAGCACGCCCTCCTTCTCATGTGCCGTATTTGATCCATTTCCAAGCCTCAAATCCAACTCAAATCTATTCCATGCCGTCCTCAGGGCCCTTCATCTCAGACGCCGAGCGGGTCGTTGGAAATACACACATCCTTCTTATAACTACAGGAAGCGTTGCATCGGTGAAGGCTCCCTTAATTGTGAAAGAGCTGCTTATGGTGTGTTTAGTTATCTTTTTTAATTTTATTTGGTATCCGGACTGCGATTGATGCTAACGACGGAATTCTGGGGGGAAAATAGTATCACAATGTTAAAATCGAGGTGGTCTCGACCAAAGCATCACTCGAATTCTTCGATCGTGAGGAGGTTGAGCGGACAGGCGCGCGCATATGGACGGACGCTGACGAATGGACTGTAAGTTGACCGAGAATTCGCACTCTAATTAGTGCCGTAACCAGGGTACTTCGTCTCTGTAGGGAACATACAAGATTGGTGACCCCATTCTCCATATTGAACTGCGGCGATGGGCTGACATTGTGCTCGTCGCACCATGTTCGGCCAATACGCTTGCGAAAATCGCAGGAGGACTGTGCGATAACCTCGTCGTATGTTTTTTCGATTTATGAATGTTTTAGTAGCTGACCGTTCTTTAGACCTCACTAATGCGGGCACTTTCTCCTTCGACGCCAACTTATGTCTTCCCTGCCATGAATACACTAATGTATGAACACCCGCTTACAGCTGAACATCTCAGAATTGTTCGGGATATTATTCATTACAATGTCGTTGGACCCATAGGTAAAAGCCTCGCTTGCGGAGATGTCGGTGAGTGACCTTTTCTTATTTAGTTCCAACCAACAGGAGCCTTTAAACTATTTGAATCCGCCACTTTGGATCTAACTAACGTCAATGTGGTTATAGGGATTGGCGCTATGACTGAATGGAAAGACATTGTTCAAGTCGTTGTCAAAAAGTTCCAGCTTTCTCGAACTTTGACATAAGGAATTGTAGAGGCCTCGTCGGGGAGAAGGAGATAGTATGTATGTTTAACTTCGGACTTGGATTAGATGCATAATTTTATTATATAATGGCAAGAAGATATAACTCCTGAATTTCTATCCAGAGTGTTTCACACCAGGTTTCTGTTTAAGTAGTCAAGAATGTTGAATCGAATCTTCGGTCTGACTGACCGTATTGACATGAGGATGCGGGACAGCACAATCCTTAACAACTTCCGTCCAATCTCACTGGGTCAAAATTCAATTACGCCCTACATAAATATGTCTAGAGTAAGGGCGGTACTTACAGAATAGATTTGTTATTTAACACTGATAAGTAATAGGAGCATAACATATGACAAAAAGTGAACACTAGCCCACCGCGAGGGTCGAACTCGCAGCCTTCAGATTACGTAAGGTCGTGTAATGACCCGCCTTAAAAGTCTGACGCTCTATCCGATTGAGCTAGGCGGGCATATGACATCCTTGTCACTTATGAACTACATGTGTAGGCGATATTCGTCCGTGGCAACGGTTTATGCGTCCTCGCCCAGAATTATCACTAAAGCTCCTTCTCCTCCACCGCAATACCGACAATGCTACAAATGCAAAGAACTCAACATCCTGTTGGCTGAAAGTCCAAGAGCTATAAGAACTGCGGAGAAAAGGCTCAGAATTCGAGGTTACAAAGCACGTTTCATTGGGCGAAAAGCGTACACGACAGTCTAGACTTCGAGAAGGTGAAGAAGAACGGCAATCGAAACGGCCCCGGATGTATGACAAAAGGGCAGGTGAATTAGGGAGTGTAGAGGGGTGGATTCAGTGGCCTTATGAATTCCCTGATAGCGTGCATGCAGGGAGTCTATTTTGACTAATGACTTTCTTGAACCATCTATAGAGTGAATTTGGGACTGTCGGCACGCCGTCTTTACCTTCAAATCCTCTGAAGTGAAACAGCTGGCATGTATGCACGTTTTCTACCTTTTATTGACTCTGTCCATGGACTTGCTCCTCAACTTTCTGTTTCTGTTCTGATACTTTCATATTTCGCCTTTCCTCTAGCGACTACATTTCTGAAGACTTTACAAGCGAGGACGATCCACATGAGTACAAACAGCGGCGACTACAAAAGGGAAGAATGAAGGAAACTGAAGATGGTACGACTCTTAAAGCATCCTCTACAATACTGCCCCTTACGGGCCTTCCTTCTGAGTTGCAAGATACCTCGAATATTCCTCTGGACCCAGCTACTTCGACTGTTGAGCCATATGACGGTATTATCTTATTAAATGCTGCAGATTTGAATACCATCTCTCCCGAAGAAGACGATCCCCTAGTTCTCGCCGAGTCTGTTTCCCCCACGCCATTCGATGTATGGCCCACCATCGTAACTTCTGGCTCTCTTCTGGAACCACCACATGTAGTCCTGCCCACTGTGACAAGTCCGCTTAGTGACCTGGATGCGCTCCCAGAACTCGAAGACAGTTTATCGGACAACAGCTCTGCTTTGTGGACTCCTGTGGGCTCTCCCCCAATAGGCGGGGGTCTTATACCTCTGAAAAATATATTAAGGTCCAAATAGATGTGAATATGACCATTAACTAACTAGCTTGTCATCCTTGTGCGTTTGATCTAGAGCTTCCGCCAACCGAGCACGCCCAAACTACTCGCCTTGATTAGCCATACCCCCTCAGCTGATGCATGCTGGAGGAACACGCCTCCACTCCATGATGCCCAACAATACGTCTCAGCAATTTCTCGCTACAGTCGTCAATACTAGCATCAGAATTTCAAGTTATGCATCCTGATAGAATACTAAGGCCACCCATCTCGCTAAGGTTCTGGATCTTATGGCGTCCACCTTATCAAGTAACGCACATCCATTCTCGGTCCGTATACTAATGACAGAGCATCTACATTCCCCGGCCCGTCTATCGCCCTCCTAATACGAACCATCCAGTATGTACTTGTAGTTCTGACTAGCCCTCAGCAGCAATTTCCACATCTACCCACGCATCCAGGCGGAAACCCTTCAATTCCATGTTCCTAACTGCTAAGCTTTTAGGATCGCATACCCATATTCAAAATAATGGAAATAACACGCAAATCCGCCGCCCGCCAAATCGTAACCTTACGTTTTTGAATTCGATGGTCCCCAACAGCCCACATCCAGCCTAACGCGTAGTTAACGAAGCCTCGGCTCTATGAAGTACCCTTAGCTCGAATCTCGGACTAAATATCCATCCAACATTCCTCGTCTGCTCTACAAACCTTCATAACCAACTAGACTGTATCTGGACACCCAACCTCTGTCATTCGGCCTCCTCAGGCTCCTATCTTGGCTCTAGCACAAGCTGGGGCGCCGCTGCATAACAATATCAAAATAGTAAATAACAGTTTTCAAATCAACTTTGCCTTACTAACCTGTCAAGAGTCAACAACTCCCTACATCCAGCTCTGCGCATACAACCACAGTAATCACGCGATCAAAATATATGAGCGTGTTAGTTCGACGCATTACTTTCCTTCTACTCATAGACACAACTGTATCCGAAGATAATGAAGATGAAATCGACATGTACGACAAAGTGATTCTCCTTTTTTAGACGTCATACTCAATTGCCATGCGCTCATTTATATTAACCCTATTGTACAGGAAACACAGGACAATTAACAGAGGGTGTAGACTGCTGTTACCCTAAATTGAACCATGTTAAAGATGGATAGAACAGTTCGTCCCATTGTTTTTGACTTAATTGCTATAATGATGTTAGAAAAGTGTTTCCACTCTTCAAGACATTAAGTAACACTGTCTGTAAAGCTGTTGAGACTGCGACATAGAAGGTGGAAGCTCTTAACCTTTACTTTTATATGCCCGCCTAGCTCAATCGGATAGAGCGTCAGACTTTTAAGGCGGGTCATTTGTTCGATTCCACTTGAATTTACCATCTGAAGGCTGCGAGTTCGACCCTCGCGGTGGGCTAGTAATAACATTTTTACTCCTTAACTTCCCGAACTTCAACCACACAGCCCAAATCGCTGTTGGCAAGTGGCATGAATCTTTTCAGAGGTTACATACCTTGACATAGTCAAGAAAGGCTAGCTAAAGCATCATGTATGGACATTTGAGACTTAAATGTGGTCGCTAATTAATAATGTTGCTATATCTCTCGGTTCAAACGAACTTTCAAACTATCCCACTAACTTAAATATAGAATCCAGTACTGAGCAGAGAATACTTGACTATTGAGAGAAGTTAGAGAACGAGCCTGCTGGCTAACCACAGTCGTATAATAATATCAATACCTGAACGAAATAATGTACAGCGTCGACATAGTGTTCTATTAGTAGACATAGCTAAAAATACAACGCAGTATTAAATCCCACTTCCAACTTCTGAATGCATCGAGTCATTCTGAACCAGGAGTCGCTGCTCAGAGACTGAGAGTAAGATAATGTAATGTCCATCATAACTACTGAAATACTCACCAGGCGTGAGTGAGGCTAAGAGCTCAATATCTACCAATATTCGCGAGTACTTAGAACCATGCCAACTGCCAACGACCCTTGATATTAACACTAGACACTCACTTCGATTGAAAATCAAGACGATCAGGAAGGCAAAAAAAAGCACAAACACATCTAATTGATATTTCCTCATAAAACATTGAATGAAATAGATAGGTGCTTCTTCCCCGTCTTCTCCTTGCCTCTTCCCTCGGATTAACCAAGTTAATTCGGCTTGACATTCTCCACTTTCTCTTTGGACTCGTGCTTGCCCTCGGTCTTCTCTTTGGGCGTGATTCCTTCCTGCAAGAAAGAGGGGGGATACTTAGTTGCCATATTATACTCGAAGAGATATGGGAATGCAAGAACGCGGCAGGCAGATACGATCCCACAGCACTAGAAACAAGAAAGAGCCGAAACTCACCGTTCCAGCGACTCGCGGCGCGCCCTGGTCCGTAGGTCCCTCTTCTCCGGCGTTGAATGTACCAGCCTTATTGCCAAGCTCCTTCTCCTGCACGTCCGACTTGACTTCGCTTACATTCGCGCCACTGGCGCTTGGCTGAAAATGCAGAGTACATGTTAGGGAGCGGTGAATAAAAGTAGGAAGCAAGGATACGCACCTCTGAATCGCCAGAGCTCTCAGTAGCAGCAGCATCACGGGTCTTGGACTCCTCAGTGGGCTAGAAGTGACGCGTCGCAAGTGGGCATTACGCGGAATGGAGATAAATGCGGGGTATTCTTACCGTGGTCGAGTCCTGGGGAACGTCTTCTTGCTATTTCAACGCGTCAAATTCCATTCTTCCATTCCAAGCAGAATAATCCTACAACTAACCTCAGCCAACTTGATGGATGATGAAACGTTTGCTGGTGTTCCTTCGTCATCCTTCACGACCACGGGCTCGGCAGCAGGCGCAGCGTGATCCTTTGGTGTGTACCCAGGGTAATCGTGCTTGTCGTCGTGGAAGTCGTGGCGATTTTTCCTTGCAGAAGGGGAGACGAGGTAGAGGAACTAGAGCAATACATTGAGTTCAAGCTATTCCAAGAGCTACGGAAGCACAAAGAACGAGACTTACAGCAGGTCCAAAGACGAGAGTAGCGCCAATCTGATTAGCACTTCATTAGCATCCTTGTCAAGTCCATTATTGAAGAACGAAACGACGCACGATCCACGGCTTGTCGGACTTTTTGGCTGTCTCTGCAGCATGTGATGCAGCGCTCATGTTCCTCCTGCCGACGCGGGCAGACGATGAGGCAACATTAGATGAGCGACGGGCAACGCTGGCGGCAACGTTGCGTGCGAGGCGGGTAGACATTATGGGATTAGAATAGGTGGATAAAGCAAGAATAAGGGAGACGGGGATGATGACGGCAAGTTCTGCCTCCGTGGGACTTGTTCGTTTTGAACACGGGTCATCCCGGCTCAGAACCAATGACGTCGCTACCAATGTCCTCATCGCAAAATCATCGCTCATCACCCGCCCTCATCATATTGTACTAGTTATTAGTTCTGGGCAGCAGTAGCGAGTTCCTGGATAATTCTATATTATTTCATGCAATGCTATCGTCTCCACAGTCTGTCGTAACGCGTCATAACGATTGGCCGACAATCACCAAATAGGACTATTTCCCCACAATCTACTCCTCCCACCACCTCAGCCCGATATTCGACAAGTACATCACCCCCATGGCAACGCTGAACGGGTCGTCACTCTCAGGTCCAGCCGCTTTAAAACGTCGTACAATATCTTTGCAGTCAACTCCCACGTATCCTCCATCTACAGTCCGATATGGTTCCATGATGAGCGCGACACGCTTTAGGGGATCCTCCGCATATTTACCATCCACATCTGGGATTGCTTGCTGGAAGCACCTACAGATTCGAGAGATTTACTATAGGAGTTGGGCGTAAACCTACCTGCATTGACACTCTTACAGCAGCCATGAACGCATCGCGGAAAGAGGGAGGGGTTACATTCGTGGTACGCTGAACTCAACATCATTAACCACGTTCATTATAAAGAAGCTTTCAACTTACCGTATGCTCACATTCTTTTCGTACATGAGCCATGAACGACGCGAGTACAGCTGCAGCTTCCTCTTCCTAAGAGTAGACTATTCGCAAGATTCAACCAAGGGCATAAACAGAGCTCACCGAGGGAATGACAATATCTGCAAAAGATAGAATTGAGCTAGTGGGCGTTGCTGGAGCTGAAGACAATGTCTCGCTTGAGGTAGATACTTGGCTCAATGCATGAGAAGAAGCGGATCCTTGCGTTAGACTCCTTCCTTCAGTCGAATCTGGTTCTATATCGTCTTCCTACGTGTAAAACTCAGCACAATCGCCTATTAAAAAGAAATAAGATCCATCTTACTGGATAGTCGATATACTCGAGCCCCGTATCGTCATCTTCCTCTTCCTTGATATAAAAAGTGGCCGTTACTCGCTTTATGACTCTACTTGTTCCGGGCGTTAACACTGACGAAGCTTGTTCTTGCTGTCCTGCCTGTGAGGTGCTTTGAGTTGCTGTTCCCGGGTTCGATGTCGATTCCTTAAGGATAGTATCTTGAATAACATGAGAAGGAGTTGGGCTACTTGGTTGCGTATAATCCTGTTGAACATAAGTGTCTTGCTTTGCTTGAGAAGTGATATCCACGGGCGAAGAATCTGGTCGAGCAACTGCAACGTAATCTTCAAATGTCCGCTCAGAGCCTCTGACCCAAGCCTTCGGTACTTGATGATAATAACGCGGGCGCGGGGCAACGATAGTAAGTGAAGCAGGTGTGGCAGATATCGTAGGTGAAGCAGGTGTGAGAGAAATCGATGGGATTGTATTCAAAGCCTTGGCTTCTGCAGAAGCACCTAGCGGAGTGGAGGGTTTATCTTCGCAGAAAGGTAGCTGGGACCGCGCCATAACCCATCTATCGAAATCGGCTTCTGAGAGATTGAAGAAGTCATTTGTAGAGGCAAAACCTGTTGTAGATAGTATACACTCTTGGGGCGTTTGATCGAGAGCAGGGCTTGGGAGTTGGACTTGCAAGCCTTGTGAATTTTGCTGGTGTAGGAAATTATCTGCTTGTTGGGACTTCTCCGCTTGTTGGGCCTTACGTCGTTTATCTTCGCATTGGAGCCGCTTAGTAAGTCCGACTTGCAGTTGAAATAGTTGATTACTGTCATTGGAGTGTCGAGATTGGCCTGGAGGACGTTCGTAATTATGGTACGGGTCGGGAGCACCAGGAGCAGGCCGTGAAGGGCTGGATATAGCACTATCGATGGCGAGAGTAGCTGCTGGAGAAAGGTCATATATCCATGTCTTTGCCGTAAAACTGGATTTCGTACCTTCCATCTTCCCTTCCTCGGACCTCCGAACTTTCTTCCGCACAGGCGCTTCGTCGTTATCTGCATCGTCCTCGCGTGGTCTAGTTCTGCAGAAGGAGGGTACGAGGGCAACGGTTAAGAGAAGAGAGGGGGTTTAGGCAAAGGTTAGTCGATCCAATATTTATTCATTCACAGCAACGATGATGAAACGCATACAGTCTCGGCTCTTTAGCCATAGCGCCAGCTCGATCCTTGAATATCTCACACTCAAAACCTTGACCAGGTTCGACCGTCACAATGTCGCCAAAGCGTATACGACACTCCTCCGTGAATTCCGAGCATATCTGTTCACGTCGTAGTGCACTTTGCGTCTCTTCGTGACTACCCCCACACTGGCTTGAGTTTGGTTCGCTGGGATCTTGGTTTGGAGGTTCGGGATCCATGGTAAGAACTTGTTAGAGAACAGAAGAGAAGTCTTGCAATTGTTTTTGGGAGCAATTTAGTTTGGTGTAGAGACAGAACTAGAGATTTAGAGGGGTATGCCTGTTCGATAGGTGGACGATGGTGGTAACAGACTGAGATCCATTCAACGTTTACATCACGTGTGGTACGCGTCGATTCTATGCACTGATTCAGATTTGACAAGAATATGTGTCCTAGCACACTGATTCTATATCGCAGACGTCCAGCAGTTAAGCTATGCAAATTTACGCGTAACAGAATCTCTGAGTGATCTGAAATATGTATACCAAACGAATCAGAAAGCAACGATTCGATGTGTTATTGCTCCTAGCACATTTGTGGCATCGTAAATGTGCAATAGATTAGACTCATAACCATTCTACCTATCAAGTAAACCTATGAAAGCTCAAGGATCGTACCGAAATGAGACACATGATGCACGTTCACGATAACAACGAACTCTTCAACAAAGTACGGTTTTAAATTTGTAATCCCTCTCTGAAAGGCCTATCGCTAGGTAAAATATTTTGTTAATTCAAAAACGCATTTGAGACATTAAAATCGCAAAACAACAGGACTTCTTGATCAACGGCGGATGAAAAAATAAATCTTGCTTCTATTTTTGATGCTGAAGTGTCTAATCAAGTACGCGTATGAAAGCGAGCGCAGCTATCCATACAGAACTGAATGAGACCATA